AAACTGTGGATAAGCTGAATATACTATAAAGTAGCACATAGGTGAGGCTATATAGCTTACTGTGGTTACTAAACAGGTATTTTTTAAATACTTTTTTAGAGTTATTTTATTTAACTTTATTTATTAATTAATTTTAATTTTACCAGAGAAGAACAGAGAGAGAGAGAGAAAGTGAGAAAGCAAGCCACCAGGTCTGGGACTCAAACTGCTTGGCCATGTGGGAGTGCAGTGCCCTTAACCAACACGCCACTTGCTGGCTCCACATTTTTTAATTTTAAAAAAGGCTGTTTTAGCTTTAATAAATCAAAATTAAAAAATGTTAAGAGAACTTTGCTTAGTACTTAAATCCAGGAAACAGGTTAGGATTCTGTTCCAATAGTAGGTACATGGACCTGTCCACAACTGAGAGAAGACAGAACTCCTTAATGCTGGCAAACAAAGTGTTGAAGGTCAGTCATGTTTTAGTGAAAAGTCATAAAATTCTAGGAAAAAATATTGAAAAGCTCTTTGATGATTATGATGTGGATTTTACTGTCTTTGTATTGACTGATAAGCATGGTATTCCTTCTGGGAAAAGAGATGTAATACATTGTAAAGTTATATGTGATTCAATTTAATATAAACAAGATTATGATGATAATAAGTAAAAAAATAGGCAAAAAAAAGTCATAAAATTCTATTTCACCAGTTCAAACTCATGTACTTTATCTTCTGTTGTGGTTCGATCTTTCCGTTTAAATTCTGGAAGATAACGTTCAACTCTAGATTTGTCCCTGTCTTTAAGCTGGCCATTTTTTTTTAGGTGTTTTAGAACTCTTATCTCTGTGTGTCTGACTTTAGTTTTCCTGGGATAGCACTCCCTTCAGAACTTCATGGAGAGCTGGTCTGCTGTTGGTAAATTCTTTCAGGTTTTGTTTATCTGAGAATATTCTTGTCTTCTCTTCCCATATGAAGGATAATCTTGCCGGATATAATATTCTTGGTTGAAATTGTTTGCCATTCAACACTTTGAATATATTTTCCCATCTGTGAACAAAAGTTGACTTTAGGCATGAAACTGTGGATAAGCTGAATATACTATAAAGTAGCACATAGGTGAGGCTATATAGCTTACTGTGGTTACTAAACAGGTATTTTTTAAATACTTTTTTAGAGTTATTTTATTTAACTTTATTTATTAATTAATTTTAATTTTACCAGAGAAGAACAGAGAGAGAGAGAGAAAGTGAGAAAGCAAGCCACCAGGTCTGGGACTCAAACTGCTTGGCCATGTGGGAGTGCAGTGCCCTTAACCAACACGCCACTTGCTGGCTCCACATTTTTTAATTTTAAAAAAGGCTGTTTTAGCTTTAATAAATCAAAATTAAAAAATGTTAAGAGAACTTTGCTTAGTACTTAAATCCAGGAAACAGGTTAGGATTCTGTTCCAATAGTAGGTACATGGACCTGTCCACAACTGAGAGAAGACAGAACTCCTTAATGCTGGCAAACAAAGTGTTGAAGGTCAGTCATGTTTTAGTGAAAAGTCATAAAATTCTAGGAAAAAATATTGAAAAGCTCTTTGATGATTATGATGTGGATTTTACTGTCTTTGTATTGACTGATAAGCATGGTATTCCTTCTGGGAAAAGAGATGTAATACATTGTAAAGTTATATGTGATTCAATTTAATATAAACAAGATTATGATGATAATAAGTAAAAAAATAGGCAAAAAAAAGTCATAAAATTCTATTTCACCAGTTCAAACTCATGTACTTTATCTTCTGTTGTGGTTCGATCTTTCCGTTTAAATTCTGGAAGATAACGTTCAACTCTAGATTTGTCCCTGTCTTTAAGCTGGCCATTTTTTTTTAGGTGTTTTAGAACTCTTATCTCTGTGTGTCTGACTTTAGTTTTCCTGGGATAGCACTCCCTTCAGAACTTCATGGAGAGCTGGTCTGCTGTTGGTAAATTCTTTCAGGTTTTGTTTATCTGAGAATATTCTTGTCTTCTCTTCCCATGTGAAGGATAATCTTGCCGGATATAATATTCTTGGTTGAAATTGTTTGCCATTCAACACTTTGAATATATTTTCCCATTCTTTCCTTGCTCGCATTGTTTCCGAAGAGAGGTCCACTGTGAGCCTGATGGGATGTCCTTTGTAGGTAACCTGACGTCTTTCTCTTGCCAGTCTGAGTATCTTGTCTCTGTCTGTGGTTTTGGTCAACCTGGCTATAATGTGTCTTGGAGAAGATCTTCTTGGGTTGATCCTATTTGAGATCTTTTGCATTTCTCGGGACTGGATCTTTGAATGCCTCTCTAGGTTTGGGAAGTTTTCTTCCAGGATTTCATGGAATACATCGTCAATGCCCTTATCAGTCTCTTCACCTCTTTTTCTCTTCTGGGATACCGATAATCCAGATGTTTGATGTTTAATGGTATATAGTATTTCTCATATATTATTCTCATTTTGGGGGCTATTTTCTCAGTCTTCGTGGTAGATTTTACTAGCCCAGCAATTCTGTCTTTTACATCTGAGATTCGATTTTCTGTATGATCTAGTCTGCTTTTAATACTTTCAAAGGAGATGGACCAGCAGTTAGCGTAATGGCTATGTCGCTGGACTCCCATGTAGTCGACTGCGGTTTGAGTCCCAGGCCCGGTGGCTTAAACTTATGCCGGGCGCGTGTGTGTGTGTGCCCAAGATCCCAAGAGGAGAATGGCGGAGAAGGGATTGCAGTGTGGCCATCCCCCCTGGGGGGTTATTTCTTGCTTTCTGTCTCTCTGTCTCTCATGTGCCCTGTAGGAATAAAAACCTCTCCAAAAGAAAAAAAACTTTCAAGGGAGGTTTTGACTTCCTGTTCATCTCCAACAGTTCCGTTTGATTCTTGTTTATAGTGTGTATTTCGTCTTTCAGCTCTCGCAAGAACTTCCTCACCTCCTGGAACTCATCGGCTTTTTTCTGCTGGTGTTCATTGTCTCTCTTCTCTTCCATCTGTTAGCTTTGTCACTATGAATACTCTAAATTCTTTATCAGACATTTCCATGAGTTCTGTTGTACTGTCTGTGGATGAAGTGTGTGTGAGGTATTTTCTTGGTTTCTCTTATTTCTTCTTCACTCTCCTCCTGGGTGAGTGGGGGATTTAGTGCAGGAGTTAGTCCGTGTCAACTGCAGACTGTTGTCTGGCCATGGCAAGCTCTCAATAAATAGAACTTTTGGGCTGATCCTATAGCCTAGTGGTTAAGGGAGCTGGACCCCACATGGCTGGCTGTGGTTGGAATCCCAGCCCTGAGAAGTTGAACATGCTGATGTGTCTGCATGCCCAAATACCCTGACACTATAAAGAAATGGGAGAGAAGGGATTGCGCCCCCATAGTGCGTGGTTCCTCCCCCTTTTTCTTTCTCTGTCTGTCTCTGGTGAGTGCACAAGCCCTCTGGCAATATAAACAAAATCAAAAACAAAACAGTAAATAGAGCTTCTACTTTTCAGTAGATGTAAATAATTTTCTAGGGCTGTTGTAAGAAAGCACAGCATACTGGCCACTTAAAGTAGAGGCCTCTTCTGTTCTGGAGGTGAGAAGCTGGAGTCCACGTGTTGGCAGGGCCTGCGACCTCTGCAGCCCCCGGACCCCCCTCGCTCGTCCAGCTTTGGGTTGCTCCCGGCACTCCCTCCTGCAGGTGTGCCGCTGCAGGCCCTCCCCTGGCCGTCTGTGCATGGTCCTCCTCCTCCTGTCTGTGCATGGTTCTCCTCCCCTGGCCGTCTGTGCATGGTCCTCCTCCTCCTGTCTGTTTTCTGCGGGCACAGATTGGGCACCGATTGACGCCGTCAGACCCTGCGAGGGGCCAGGCCCCCTTTCTCCAGTCCTCCAGCTTGTCAGATCTTGGGCACGTGTGCTGACCGCTGACTGGACAAGGAATTCGTGCTGCAGCCTCTGTGCATTACCCTGTGCCACGGAACTGGCCCACAGTCCTTTTTAATACCATGTTTTCTTTTGTTTTTAGAGATTTTTGCTATAGCGCACGTGCACTTGCTGGGAGACAGAAAGTGAGAAATCATCCCCCAGGAGAATGGCCACGCCTCAATCCCTTCTTCTGTATTCTCCTCTTGGGATTCTGGGCATGCACACACATGTGCCTTGCGTGAGTTTTAAGCCTCCAGTTCTGGAACTTGAATCATAGTCGTCCATGTGGAAGTCCAGTGACGTAATCGTTACACCATCTGCTGGTCCCGTATATTATATTATATTATATTAGACCAAAGAGGAACATAGTGAGAGAGAAAGAGAGAGAAGGAAAGTGAGAAAGCAAGCTACCACGTCTGGGTCTTGAACTGTGATTGGTCATGTGGAGTCCAGCACCCTTAACCACCATGCCAACTGCAGGCCCCCAATACCATGTTTTTAACAGCTAGTTGTAGGGTTGACATTCCATGATGAAGTCGGTTTGCAACCTTATTTTTGTCTTTTGATAAAAGGGCTTACATTTGTGTTTTTCTGTTTGTTTTGATTATTGCAGAGGGCGTGTGCACTTGCCAGAGGGAGAGGGAGAGAGGGAGATGCCACACCCGATGCGCCATAGTCATGTCCATCCTTTTCTCTTCGATTTCTCTACCCTGATGGGATTTTGGACATGCGTGTGGACACACTTGTCTGGCACGTTTTTCAGGCTGCTGGGGTTGGAACTTGAACCCCACAGTTGGCCAGGTAGGACCCATTTCCCTCAACCACCAGAGGGCTGGCCCAAAGGTCATGCACAGACTCTAATTCCAAATCAAGGCCTACCAAGAAAAAGCAAAACCTCAGTGTATTTGAATATTGGGGATGTAGTTATATCTGACCAGCATATGTTGTTAAAACACTTTAATTATATCTGTTGGCAGAGTGTATGCATATGAAGCAAGACTGAATTCTTTTCAGTTTTAGATTTCTCTTTTAGATATTATAAAGTTTATTTCTAAAGATGTTTGCAAATATTTGTTTCTTCTTATGTCTTTTTTGAAAACAAAAATCTCTCTACAGATAAAATAATTGTGGGCAGCTTTATGGGATACCTCAGAATCTTTAACCCCCAGCCTGTGAGAACGGGAGACGGAGCTCAAGCAGAGGATTTACTTCTGGAAGTGCACCTGCGAGACCCAGTCCTGCAAGTGGAAGTTGGAAAGTTTGTCTCGTAAGTACAGTCTACCAGTTCTGGGCTTCCCTTCCTGGGAGCGTGCCCACCCCTTACACTGCTTCCTTTGTGGGTTTTCCAAAGAAGACTAACCAGGGACTAAGTGTGTTTTCTAGAGGTTGTCACCTAGGTATTGCACATGTATTGGACACTTTTTCCCCCTGTAGTTTTGCCATAGGGCGCGTGTGCTTGCTGGAGAGACAGAGAGAGAGAGAGGGAGGGAGGAAAAGTGAGAAATCACCCCCTGGGGAATGGCTTTGCCACAGTCCCTTCTGCATTCTCCTGTCAGGATTTTGGGCATGCACATGCTTGCTTTCAGTGTGTTTTACGAGCTGCTGGGTCTAGGACTCGAACCATGCTGTTGGCCATGTGGGACCCAGCCCTGCCCTAGGGTGACCCAGTTGGGCCCCTTTTACGTAGAAGCCTGCACATTTAGGATGGAATAAGGTAGGAACTTTTAATAGTGACAGACCTAAGATGCCTGACACACCGGAAGCTCACAGAGGAGGAGAGAGACTGGGGTATAGACAGACAGGGAGTCCTCACTTCCTGAAGGAGAGTCACCTAAGTCATGTGCTTGAATAGTTAGGCTGTCAGGCCAAGCACAGTAGCAGATGACCGCTACCTTTTGGCTCGTAACTGATTTTGTGCTGGCTGGGGAGAGACAGAGAGGGAAGGAGGTGAGCAGGGACGGCCGCACCGCAGGCCCTCTGCCTTCATCTCCCCGTTTGGGATATGGGTGAGAACACACACGTGCCTGGCGTGTTTCTCACGCTGCCAGCCCAGGGCTAAGCCATGCCTGACGGGGTGGAATCTGGCCACCTCAGCCATGATGCCACTGGCGACCCGTACTGTGGAGTCTTAAATTCAGTCACTCACTTGGTGTAGAGACGTTTCTGAGAAGTCAGCTCAGCCCACAAAGGAAGCCTTCCCTGTACAAGGGCTTTGTTTGCATTTTCTTAAAATTAAGCCTGTGTTTCTTTTCTCTTCTCTTCTTTTAATTGCCAGAGGTATGTGCACTGCCACAAAGGAGAGAGGAGTGCGCCCGGTGCATACCGGAATTTTCTGGAAGCGGTGTCAGTCTGTGCTAGTTGTCTGTTAGCGTTTTTGGCAGTAGAGTGAATGATGACTACATCGTATGTTCACTGCACCGCGCCTTATAGATACCATCTAATGCAGTGTGCACTTTGTAAATGAGATGACCACACAGGCACCGGGACTGTGGGTGTGCAGTTCAGCCATCACAGCTCAGAGCAGGCTCCGTCAGGGCTGTGCAGTGGAGGCCTGCCCACACACGTGGCCTGCCCGCACACGTGGCCTGCCCACACACGTGGCCTGCCCGCACACGTGGCCTGCCCAGAGTTTTCTTTCCTTTCTTTCTTTCTTGTGTTTGTTACATATGTTAACCTGTTTACTGTAGGCAAGGGATATCCCAAATGCCTGGGGAGCTTCTGCTGGCCCTTCGGCCTTCCAACGCCAGGGTTGAGGAGGCTGGCCCGCGTGGTGGTGTAGGTCCAGGCACTGCCAGCACCACAGGCCACCGTGCTCATGCTGGAACCGCAGTACCAGCCCCCACAGCCTGTCTCTTTATCTCGGTTTTGCCAGAGAAGGAGCCAGTGTACTCAGCGTGCTGGTCGATCTCAATCTTCTTCACCACTTTCCAGAGGGAGGCACCCCAGCGGGTCCTATGTTTACTGACGATGCCGACCTTCTCGGTGCAGTTAGCCATCTCACCGCTGTCCAGGTCCGAGCCCAGAGAGGGAGAGCCCCGCAGCGTTGTAGGTGTGAACGAGCTGCCAGGGTTACAGGCTAGGAGATCTCCCGTACAACCCACGCCTTTTGGCTTTTCTTGAAAAATGGGGCGCTTGGGACCAGCAGTTAGCGTAATGGCTATGTCGCTGGACTCCCACGTAGTTGACCGCGGTTCGAGTCCCGGACCCGGTGGCTTAAACTCACGCCGGGTGCGTGTGCATGTGTGCCCAAGATCCCGAGAGGAGAATGGAGGAGAAGGGATTGCGGCATGGCCATCCCCCCTGGGGGGGGTGATTTCCTGCTTTCTATCTCTCTGTCTCTCTCTGTCTGGCGAGCGCACGCGCCCTATTGCAAAAAAAACCTCTCCAAAAAAAAAAAAATGGGGCGCTTTGGCCGTGAGCCAGGACTGGATGGTGGGCACCTCCTTTAGTCTTGCCCCAGTCTTTAGCCAACCACAGCCCTTGCACCTGTTCCTCGTTAACACCCCGCTGGCCTGGAAGGCTGTGGGTTTAGAATTTCTAGACCGCACCATGCTGCCGTGGGCTGGGAGCATAGTGGTGATTGGCAGTGTGTTTCAATTTGAGAGATAGTCTAAACGGAAGTATTTTTAATACTTTTAATAACGTTTCAGAGCTGGAGGTGATATATGCCATTTACTGATAATAACCACTAGCATTTTGTGGTGCTTCATACCAAAAATTAAAAAAAATGATTTCACGAGAGATCAGAGCGAGAGAGAGACACCCTGACAGGGCCTTTGTGCTGCCCCAGCTGCCAGGGCTCTGGGTACATGTGCTTGTGTCTGGCACGAAGGGGGAGCCCCTTCTATGTGGCTGTTGCGTCACTGCCAGGCCACCTACTCTGGGCTCTGGGGCTCTCACATGATTTTATTCCGTCTAATTGAGACCTTTCCTTTTCATTTAACTTTATTTATTTTAATTTGACCAGAGAGGGACAGAGTGAGAGAGAGAAGGGAAGGTGAGAAAGCAAAACGCTAGGTCCAGGGCATGAAGCACACTTGGCCGTGGGGAGTCCAGCGCCCCCAACCACCATACCACCCTCCGGCCCCAGGAGCCTTTTTTTTTTGAGATAAAATTTTTGATATAGGGCGTGTGGATTCACTGGAGAGAGACAGAGAGATAGAAACAGATAGAGACATAGAAAGGAAGAAATCATCAATAGCCCAACCCTGGGAGAATGGTCATACTGCAGTCCTTTCTCCTCCATTCTCCTCTTGGGATCTTGGGCACGCACACACACATGCCCAGCATGAGTTTTAAAATACCGGATCCAAGACTTGAACTGTGGTTGACGACGTGGGAGTCCAGCGATATGACCACTTATGCCCTCTGCTGGTCCCTTCCAGAACTGGGCTCCCTTTACTGCAGGAGAACACGCAAGGGGCCTCAGATGTGGCCTTTCCTGGAGGCTCTTGGGCTTCCATCTGAGGGCAGCTCTTGTAGCCCATGTGGGTCATGAAAGTGCTCGCTGTGACCTGTTTTTCAATTAGAATGTTATCTAATGCGTGGTTGTGTTTCTTCACAGTGGTTTCAGTTATAGTATCTCTTTAACATGATATTACAACCTTTGGGTTGTATTTCAAACTCACCATCTAAACTTTCTAAAACTCTCCATTTCCAGAGGTGCTGAAACGCTTCACCTGGCTGTGTTGCATCCTAGGAAACTCTGTGTCTACTCTGTGTCAGGTAAGAAGCCTTTTCTCTAGTGTAGAATTTATATCACGAACCTTGCTTCTCAATGCTGTAAGACTGGATATTCCCAGGGTTGGCTCTGTGGCCTGGTGGTTAAGGTGGCTAGATCCCACGTGACTGACTACCCGGTCCAGCCACAGACTCTGGGTGTGCATGTGCGCCCAGAACCCCCACGGCATGGGGAGAGGGAGGACAGGGCTCTGCGATGTGACCACGCCCTTCTGTCTCTCACCCTATGTCTCTTCCTCTCTCACCTCCAGTGGTGTGAGGAAGGACATAATGTGTCCTGCTACCCACTTAGGGTCGCTAGCTGGGCCCTGTAGCTTACGCTGGCACAGAGGGATGAGCGAGTGAAAGCAGGTAAGTCACGCGTATGTGCACTGTGCGTGTACACACGGATGTGGGAGCTCCTAGCGCCATGGTGCTGTGACCCAGATGGCGGCTGAGACTCAGCGTACGTGTCAGTGCAGGTTAAACAGAGGAACTGCACTTGGGCTTCTGGGTGAGAAAGGCAGTTCTGGGCCGGTGACCAGGGAAAGCACGGTCACAGTGCCTTTGAGTGGATCTGTCGTGTAGACTTCTAACTGCTTACGTTGTATGCAGAGTTTGGTGCAAAAGCAATTGTGGTTTTGGACATGAATTTCAAGTCATTATAACGAAGCTCAAACACATCTGTATTAGTCAGAATAGGAACCATCACCGTCTGCACATGTTTGCCAACAAGAAATAAGTGTATTTATTCCTGTAGTGTAAAAATCCACACTTCGGGGTTTGACGAACTCTCAGAAAGCATCTTCTGTATCCCACTGGTTGTGGAAACGTTTTCTTTGCAAAAAGTTGTCAGGATGCTGGAAGAAGTGGCAGTCAGCCAGTGGGGGCCAGGGATATGGCAGGTGAGCACAGCTTAGCTGCCCAGACGGTTCATTTTTATTTTATCTGTCTCCCGTGTAGTTTTAAGAGGGAAGATGACACTTCACAATAACAATTTCTTGATTTTTGGTCAGCTCCTGAGCCATCCACTCACTGAGCTGTCACCTTTCCAATCTGCTCCAAATGCCAAACGACCACAGAAGGGTCGCCTTGGTTCTTCGGCGACTTCCTGTGTAGTTTTAAGAAGATCAGCTTTGATGACCGTTCTCAATTGTCCATTGTCAGCCTCTGATGGCCAGCTACCTCATCTTCAAGGGTCTCGTCCCCTCTGCAGAACTGCAGGGACTGGCCTGCATGCTCACGAGCCCTTCCTGGGACAACGCGTTGTTGGCATTGCCAGTTGTCTCTGCTGTCTTATGACACATTTTGAACTCAAATAAGAAAATTGTTTGAATCTGCTTTTTGTCCAACATCATTTCCATAGTTGAAAATATGTATAAAGTTAACATTACCAAGAAATATGAAGTTAGAAATAGGCCTTAAAATGATGCATTGGATTGTTGCAGAGTGGAGAGAGTGAGGAGGCTGTGTCTGGCTCCTGCTCTCATAGTCACTGCACTACAGTGAGCTCCACAGAGACAGCGCTGGGGCAAGTGAGAGCTGGACGGGCATTGCGCGACTCTGTACCTCGCAGAGGAAAGATAAGTAACCGTGGGTGAAGGAGATCCTGAGAGGCCGAGAGGCAAAATGTCATCATATGCATTCTTCGTGCAAACTTGCCGGGAGGAGCACAAGAAGCACCCAGATGCTTCCGTCAACTTCTCAGAGTTTTCTAAGAAGTGCTCAGAGAGGTGGAAGACCATGTCTGCTAAGGAGAAAGGAAAGTTTGAAGATATGGCAAAGGCGGACAAGGCTTGTTATACAGGTCCACAGTTAGTGTGTGTCCCGACCCAGGGGACAGTCGAACAGGTTTCCTGAGGGAAGGAGTGAGAGACAAGATGAACGATGCAGTGTTACAGCACGGAGACAATGCAGTGTTACAAGATGCAGTGTTACAACTCTTCAGGGTCTTCCGTTTATTGTGAGCAGCATGGAGATGACACAGTGTTACAGCTTTTCAGGGTCGTCCGTTTATTGTGGGCAGCACAGAGACGTCGAAGTGTCACAACTCTTCAGGGTTGTCCAGAGATGACGCGGTGTCACAGCTCTTCAGGGTCTTCAGGGTCGTCCAGAGACAACACAGTGTTACAACTCTTCAGGGTCTTCAGGGTCGTCTGGTGATCGTGGGCCAGGGATTGTGGTTATATACATGCTGGTGGGCAGTGATTGGTTGTCCTATATGCTAATGAAGGATTGTACAAGGTGGGTTATGATTAGTTGCTTTTGTGGACCAATCATGAGGTGCCAGATATGCAAATCTGAGGGATTCTAAGCTCACCGATTTGCTATAGGAAATGGCCAATCAGAGTATGGTTTTGAAGGTGAGGTTTTGAAGGGGAGCCAATCATGGCCTTTGTCATTGTGTAATTGTTTTCTCTCTGAGAAACCGGTGATATTTGCTGGTGTGCAGCCTCCCACAAAAGAGAAATGAAAACCTATATCCCTCCTAAAGGGGAAACAAAAAGTTCAAGGATCCCAATGCACCCAAAATGCCTCCTTTGGCCTTTTTCTTGTTCTGTTCTGAATGTCGCCCCCCAAATCAAAGGAGAACACCCTGGCCTGTCCATTGGTGATGTTGCAGAGAAACTGGGAGAGATGTGGAGTAGCACTGCTGCAGATGGTGAACAGTACGGAAAGGATGTTGCTGCATGCCGAGCTAAAGGAAAGCCTGATGCAACAAAAAAGGGAGTGGTCTCGGCTGAAAAGAGCAAGAAAAAGGAGGAGGAGGAAGATGAGGAAGATGAAGAAGATGAGGAAGATGATGAATAAGTTGGTTCTAACGCAGTTTTTTTTCCCCTTGTCTATAAAGCATTTAACCCCCCTGTCCACAACTCACTCCTTTGAAAGAAAAAAACTGAAACATAAGGCCGTGTAAGATTCATTTTTAAACTGTGCAGTGTCTTTTTTTGTATAGCTAACACCGAATGTGTCTATCTAGCCCTGTCCTGGTCGTATTGTCAGTAGCCACTAACCTTGCCTGGTACAGCATGGGGGTTGTAAATTGGCATGGAAATTTAAAGCAGGTTCTTGGAGCACAGCACAGATTAGTTATATATGGGGATGGGAGTTTTTTCGTCCTCAGTTGTCGCTGATGCAGTTTATATGAAATAATTTTTCTGTTAATGGAATACCACTCTGAAATTGCAAAAAAAAAATTGCAGCTGTTTTGTTGACATTCTGAACGCTTCTAAGTAAATACAATAAAAAATGATGTATTGGGTTGTTGGAAAAGTCATGACGTATTCTATGTTTTCAAAACTCATTTATATAAAGAACAAAGGTCAATCGATGATTGATTGCCCATTTTGTTTGATAACCTTTTGCTATCTTTCAGTGAGCTTTATTTCTTTTTATTATTTTATTTATTTATTTATTTTTAGAGAGGCCCTTGCTGTAGTACACGTGCGCTCACCAGAAAGACAGAAAGAGACAGAGAGACAGAAAGAGACAGAGAGACAGAAAGCGAGAAATCACCCCCAGGGGGGATGGCCACGCCGCAGTCCCTTCTCCATTCTCCTCTCGGGATCTTGGGCACGCACGCACACTTGCCTGACGTGAGTTTTAAGCCACCGGGTCTGGGACTCGAACCGTGGTCGACTACATGGGAGTCCAGCGACACAGCCATTACGCTAACTGCTGGTCCCTTTCAGTGAGCTTTGTAGCGAGCCCTCATAGAAGGGCCTGTCTTTATTGGCCACAAACTGAACAAGGTGCTAATTTACAACCTCATTTGAACTGAACATTGTACTATGCAAGGAGTTTTATTTATTTTTCGAGAGATTTTTGCTATAGTTATATGTGCTCAATGGAGAGACAGAGAGGGAAAGTAAGAAATCCCCCCCATCCCCCTGCCGGGGGGACGGCCATGCCACCACACCTTCTCCATTGTCCTCTTGGGGTTTTGGACACACATGCACACATGCCCATTGTGAGTTTCAAGCTGCTGGCCTGGGAGTCACACCATGGTAGGCCACGTAGGAGTCCAGTGCCTTAACGACCACATCACCTGCTGACCCCAAGCATGCAAGGGGTTTTGAAGAGTGAAACAAGTCAAGTCAGATGGACAAGGCCAGGCGAGTGTGGTGGGCATGCAGCACGTTGATCCCTGCTGGGTGGTGCACTGTGTGTGGTCTGGCCTTGCTGTGATGGAGCAGAACTCCTTTGTGATCAGTGAGCTCTGGGTGGTGGACTCGTTCAAACTGTGCAGTTCTGACAGTACCTGTTCAGATTGATCATCTGGTTCTGAGACGGGAGCTCGAGAAGCGTGACACCTTTGAAATCTCACCACAGTGAGAGCATAGCCCTCCTCTGATGGGGGTCTGCTCTCCAAGGTGTTTGAGGTGAATCGTCATGTCGGGACCAAGACCGTTTGCCCATGTTGTTAACAATCACTTGTCATCACCAGTTAACAGTCACTTCAAAAAAGATCGTATGGGATCAGCAGATGATGTAGTGGTTACGTCTGTCGTTGGACTCCCACGTGGCCAACTCGAACCGACTGCTGTTCGAGTCCTGGACCCAGCAGCTTGAAACTCATGCCAGACATATGTGCACGCATGCCCAAAATCCCAGGAGGAGAATGGAAAGGGATTGCAGTGTGGCCAATCCCCCCCGGGGGGTGGTTTCTCGCTTTCCGTCTCTCTGTCTCCCTGGTGAGTGCACATGCTCTACAGCAAAAATTTCTCTAAAAAGCCAAAAGCAACAACGAGAAAAAGAAAGGATTTCCCCATGTGTAATGAGCATATCACAGCTGATTACTGCACTGTCAGATGAACTTCTTTGAGCTCACGAGTAACCCAAATATGGAGCTTCCTTAGTATCTCAACTTCTTCAGGTGGTCGTGAGCCCTTGCATGATGGACATTCAGTGTTTCTGCAGTGCCTCGTGTCATGTAACGCGGGTTCCACTCCATCAGTGCCTTTGTTTTGTCCTCATCACCCTCAGTGGGCCTCCCTGGCCGCGGA